TTCTAGTCTTCCTCATCTATTTGTCATCTATCTGTTCATCCCAAGTCATCCATCCATCCATCTATCCATCCATCTGTCTCTCAGTCTTTCTCATCTGTCATCCATCCATCCATCTATCCATCCATCTGACCGATCTGTATGTCCCGTCTACCAATCTATCTCATCTTTCTATCTCTATTTATATGTCCATCCATGTCACCCATTCATCCATCCATTCATCCATCCATCCATGTGTGTCTCTCAGTCTTTCTCATCTATTTGTCGTCTATCTGTTCATCCCATGTCATCCATTCATCCATCCATCCATCCATGTTGTGTCTCTTTCTCAGTCTCTCTCATCTATTTTTCATCTATCTGTTCATCTATCCCATGCCATCATGCCATCCATCTGTCTCTCAGTCTTTCTCATCTGTCATCCATCCATCCATCCATCCATCCATCCATCCATCCATCCATCTTTCAGTCTTTCTCCTCTGTCATCTATCTATTCATCTATCCCATGTCATCCATCCATCCATGTGTGTCTCTTTCTAGTCTTCCTCATCTATTTGTCATCTATCTGTTCATCCCAAGTCATCCATCCATCCATCTATCCATCCATCTGTCTCTCAGTCTTTCTCATCTGTCATCTATCTATTCATCTATCTCATATCATCCATCCATCCATCCATCCATCCATCCATCCATCCATCCATCCATGTCTCTCTCAGTCTTTCTCTCTCATCTATTTTTCATCTCTGTTCATCAATCCCATGCCGTCCATTCAGCCATCTATCCATCCAGCCATCTATCCATCCATCTCTCAGTCTTTCTCATCTGTCATCTATCTATTCATCTATCCCATGTCATCCATCCATCCATCCATCCATCCATCCATCCATCCATCCATCCATGTGTCTCTCTCAGTCTTTCTCATCTATTTGTCATCTATCTGTTCATCCCATGTCATCCATCCATCCACCCATCTGTCTCTCAGTCTTTCTCATCTGTCATCTATCTATTCATCTATCCCATGTCATCCATCCATCCATGTGTGTCTCTTTCTCAGTCTTCCTCATCTATTTGTCATATATCTGTTCATCCCATCATCCATCCATCCATCCATCTATCCATCCATCCATCCATCCGTCTCTCAGTCTTTCTCATCTGTCATCTATCTATTCATCTATCTCATGTCATCCATCCATCCATCCATCCATCCATCCATCCATCCATGTGTCTCTCTCAGTCTTTCTCTCTCATCTATTTTTCAACTCTTCATCTATCCCATGTCGTCCATCCATCCATCTATCCATCCATCCGTGTTCTCTCAGTCTTTCTCATCTATTTGTCATCTTTCTGTTCATCTATCCCATCCATCCTTCCATCCCATTTGTCTGTCTGTCTGTCTCTCTCTCTCTGGGTCACTTCCTCTCTTCCGTTGGTCCGGGCCTGCAGAGCCTCTTGGTAGCCAGGATGGTACCAGAGCAGCGGGCACCCAGAGACGATCCAAACCAGGTTCAAACACCAGCATTCTCCACGGACACCTCGCCTGCTCGGGTGGAAGCAGGAGGGCAACAGGCAGGGCTGAGACTTATCTTGAGTTTTTCCTGGGAGGAAAAAATCATCTCATATGACAGCTAGGGAGGAAACATCCCCCGTGCCCCTGAAGCCCTCAGGAGCTCAGCCGGAGGGGGAGTTTTTTCCTTTACTTTCCCTGTTAATTAGATATTAAGTTCGCTGAAGATCACGGCATTCAGTTTTGCTATAAAGTACAGCATCTGCTCCCTTTATTTAGACAATAGTTACCATAAACAGTATTTTATGACTGTAATGCAAACAGCTCTGTTAACACATCGCTTGCTCACAGTTATTTTTTCGCTCTCTCCCCCTTCCCCGTAGATCTTCTTTAGCCATTCTGAACGTCTTAATATCCTAATATTGTGGAATTTAATGTTCGTGGGTTTTTTTTTTTAGCTTCTCCGACAACCCGATACACGCCACACTTTTGACTCCCATTGGCTGGGAGGGCAAAGCGCAGGAGGGTTAGGACCGCGCGCTGGCCGAATCTAGCTATTATGGTCCAGCATCGTCCTCGGCTTACAACCGCAGCTGAGAATAGAATTTCGGTTTCTAAGCAAGACTGCTGTTGAAGGAGTCGTGCCCCAATTTTAGGATGTTTTTTTTTTTTTGGCTGTTTTAAGAATGGAATAGAATAAAATTAGAATTAGAATAGAATAATGAAATACAGAATAGAAGAGAATGCTGAATAGAATAGAATTAGAATCAGAATAAAATAATAGAATAGAATAGGAATAGAATAGAATAGAATAGAACAGTGTTTCTCAAGCTTGTCAACTTGAAGATGTCNTTCCACCCATCCATGTCATCCATCTATCCATCCATCTGACCGATCTGTATGTTCCGTCTACCAATCTATCTCATCTTTCTATCTCTATTTATATGACCATCCATGTCACCCATTCAGCCATCCATTCATCATACCCCATCTGTGTATCAATCTCTTTCATCTATCTGTCATCTATGTGTGTCTCTGTCAGTCTTTCTCTCATCTATTTTTCATCTATCTATTCATCTATCCCATGTCATCCATCCATCCATCAATGTGTGTCTCTCTCAGTCTTTCTCATCTGTCATCTATCTGTTCATCCCATGTCATCCATCCATCCATCCATCTATCCATCCATCTGTTTCTCAATTTTTCTCATCTGTCATCTATCTATTCATCTATCCCATGTCGTCCGTCCGTCCATCCATCCATCCATCCATCCATCCATCCATCCATCCATCCATGTGTGTCTCTGTCAGGCTTTCCCATCTATTTTTCATCTATCTGTTCATCTATCCCATTCCATCCATCCATCCATCCATCCATCCATCCATCCCTCAGTCTTTCTCATCTGTCATTATCTGTTCATCTATCCCATGTCATCCATCCATCCATGTATGTCTCTGTCAGTCTTTCTCATCTATTTTTCATCTCTGTTCATCTATCCCATGTCGTCCGTCCGTCCATCCATCCATCCATCCATCCATCCATCCATCCATCCATCCATCCATCCATGTGTGTCTCTCTCAGTCTTTCTTATCTATCATCTATCTGTTTATCTATCTGTTCATCTATCCCATGCCATCCATCCATCCATCCATCCATCCATCCATCCATCCATCCATGTGTCTGTCTCTCAGTCTTTCTCTCTCACCTATTTTTCATCTATCTATTCATCTATCCCATGTCATCCATCCATCCATCCATCCATCCATCCATGTGTGTCTGTCTCAGTCTTTCTCATCTATTTTTCATCTATCTATTCATCTATTCCATGTCATCCACCCATCCATGTGTGTCTCTCTCAGTCTTTCTCATTTATTTTTCATCTCTGTTCATCTATCCCATGCCGTCCGTCCATCCATCCATCCATCCATCCATCTATCCATCCATCCCTCTCTCAGTCTTTCTCTTATCTATTTTTCATCTATCTATTCATCTATTCCATGTCATCCACCCATCCATGTATGTCTCTCTCAGTCTTCCTCATCTATTTGTCATCTATCTGTTCATCTCATGTCATCCATCCATCTATCCATCTGTCTCTCAGTCTTTCTCATCTGTCATCTATCTATTCATCTATCCCATGTCATCCATCCATCCATCCATGTCTCTCTCTCTCTCAATCTTTCTCTCTCATCTATTTTTCATCTCTTCATCTATCCCATGTCGTCCATCCATCCATCTATCCATCCATCCGTGTTCTCTCAGTCTTTCTCATCTATTTGTCATCTTTCTGTTCATCTATCCCATGTCGTCCATCCATCCATCTATCCATCCATCCGTGTTCTCTCAGTCTTTCTCATCTATTTGTCATCTTTCTGTTCATCTATCCCATGTCGTCCATCCATCCATCTATCCATCCATCCNGAGTATAATAAGAAATCAGAAAAAAATCAATATAAATATAAATCATAAGGATACAAGCAACAAACTTACAGTCCTGCAATCATAAGTGGAAGGAGATGGGTGATAGGAACGATGAGAAGACTAATAGTAATAGTAGTGCAGCCTTAGTGAATGGTTTGACAGTGGTGAGGGAATTATTTGTTTAGCAGAGTGATGGCGTTGGGGGGGAAAAAACTGTTCTGTTTTTAACCACTATGCCAAACTGCATAGATAGACATTAGCTGTAAATAACAGAATTGATGGAAAAGGGGCTGGAGCGACTCTTCACTGAGCGAAATGAAATATTCGTGCAAGAGGTTAGGAGTGGTACAGCAGAGGGCGCCAAGCAATACAGTAGTGTAAAGGGGTTTTTCACTTTCATTGCCGCAAGGACTCTTGAACCAAAACTTTCGCACTGTTTACTAAGCGTAGGAATGCGCAGCTCCTTCTACTATTGGGCAGGGGGCGTGGCTGAGGCGGAAAGGCGGGGCTTCCTTTGGGCTGGTTGCCGGCGGCTTGCAGAGGGGTTGTAGCAATGCAACAAGTGCTCGCGTCCTGTTCTTCTCTTCTATTCGTCAGCCGAGGCTCTCGGGGGAAGCGGCCGCCGCGTAACGTCTCGGGGAGAGACCCTCCGAAACGGGCCGAACCTGGCCAAGAAGGGGCAAGTTTACAAAGGAGAGATCGCGTGTCTTTCTTAAAGCTGCAATATTTGCTGAGGCTCATGAGCTCCGGAAAGGAGTGCGCAATGGTGGCGCTGGCGAATGCCGGAGGAAGTCGCGCTGTCTCCGCTGCCACCATCGGCTCGGCAGCGTGAGAGCGAAGCAAGGGCTCCCTTCTGCCCTCCCGCCCGATTCCCAAGAAGGCAGGATTTTTGCAGGAAAAAAACCAGGTCTGGAGGCAATGGCAGCATCTGCGTGAAAGCCCCGTGGTGGGCGGGAGAGTCGAAGGCCGAGAGAGACGCTGCTGCAGAAATAAAATAAAAATAAAAGCAAGCCCCGTCGGCATGAGCGACGGCAGCGAAGGAGAGACCATCAGCTTCTTCGTGCCAAGCATGATCGACAGGGGTTGCCCGCTGCTCTACGAAGACGGGCTCGGCAGGAGAGCACCCGCAGCAAGCGAGGAAACGGCCCGCGGGTTCTCGACCGTCCCGGTAGCCCCGCCCGCCGGCACTTTTTGGAACGATGAGAGCAGCGCCTCCTGTCCGGCCACCGAGGCAACAAACCGGGTCAAAAGCGGCGCGGGTGGCGGCGGCAGCAGCCGGAGGACCACGGTCTCGTACGTGATCAACGAGGCGAGTCCGGGGCTGCTGCAGGCGGCGGAGAGCGGGGCCCTGCAGAGTCTCCGGGAGGCCTGCGAGGCGGTTGGCGCCGATCTGCAAACTCTGCATTTCGGCAAACTGGACTTCGGGGAGACGTCGGTACTCGACCGTTTTTACAACGCGGGTGAGTCGCCCGTTTTGGTCTCTGGGCGTGGGCATAACAGTTTGTGGCGGTGGCCCTGAACGCCACTTGGGGAATAAGCTCCTTTAGACGCAGGGGAGTTTATATAGTAAATGAGCTTTTTTGGCCAAGTTGCACACCGGAGGCTTGGCTACAGAATAGAGCAAGGACAAGTTAACAGAGTTGGAAGGAACCTTATAGATCATCTAGTCCAACCCTTATAGGCCAGCTATAAGAGTTATATAATTCTATAAGGTTATCTGTAAGGGTTATATAATTCTATAAGGTCCTTATAGGGAATCTAGTCCAATCTCTCTCAGGTCTTCCAAATGTTTCCAAGTTTGTCACAGTTGGGTATTGGTCATTATTCTGGGTCTCTAGCGAATAATATAAAAGAAGGTCTTGAGCGCCTCCAGAAGGTATCACTAAATATTCTGAGGCAGTTTCTGTTTTTGATACAAAAGTGTGAAAAGGTAACAGAACTTGGGTTTGCTGCTGCCTATTTATTCAACTCCAGTGTATCAAAACAATGCCTGTATTTGACACATGCAGAATTCACTTTTTTTAAATGCACAACTAAAAATCCAATGACCAGAAGTAATATATAAAATTGGTGGGCTTTCTGATGGGTTTTCTTAGAACTAGCTTCCGACAAGTACATACAAAAAAGTCCAGTTGTGAAAAGTGGTATTAAACATAACTAAAGTGAAAACAATAGAATTCTTTTGCTTCTATTTCACAAGAGACACTTTCTAAAGCTTGAACCTAAATATCATCTGTGGTGTCAGATCCTTAAAAAGGAGGAATACATTCATTTTAAAAAGGACATTGTTGTAGTTATTAAAGACATTTGTTTTAATGCAGTACAGGTTGTCCTTGACTTATGACCACAATTGGGCCCAAAATTTATGTTGCTGAATGACAAATTTGTTAAGTGAATTTTGTCCCATTTTTCGACTTTTCTTGCCACATTTGTTAAATGAATCACTGCAGTTGTTAAGTTAATAATGTGGTTGTTAAATTAATCTGGCTTCCCCATTAACTTCACTTGTCAGAAGGTTTCAAACATGGTCCTTGGACACTGCAACCATCATAACTATGAACCAGTTGCCAAGCATCTGAATGTAAATCACATGATCATGTAAATGCTGCAGTAGTCACAAATGTGAAAAATGATCTTTTTTCAGTGCCATTGGTAACTTCAAATAGTCACTAAATGAACTGTTGTAAATTGAGGACTACCTGTACATGTTTTAAAGATGACTAGGTAATGGATTTGGTTAGTGTACGTAAAATAAAATTAGAAGCTTAAATTAGGCATCTAGTCAATGTAGATATTTAATTCTTTAACCTACAGCTTTTATTCCCATCTGGGTCCTTGTGGTTATATTCTGATGAAAGAACTGCATTCTCCAGCATCATACAAGGATCTTCTGTCTTCATTGCCTGAGTCAAGCTGGATTTCTACTCTTGAAACTGTACTTAAGTTTGATAGAAGTCCTGAGGCAGGCTGAATGTGACATACTTCCTGCTTTCCTTGTGGCTTATAAGGAAGCTCATGCTAGTCCTCAGGCAAGCTGAAATTTGTCTTTCAGCGTTTGTGAAAGAATAAGGACTCTTGTTTTGTCATGCCTTGAATTTTTTTCTGTTTTCATTGTTTGAATATAGGAATCAGCCAATTCCAGTGGCAGCTGTTCAGGACAGTAAACAAAGGCAGATAGGTCATTTGTTGATCGGTGTCTGGACAGAAAATCTCTGGCTGTATAATTTTATGCTGTGCAGGATTTTGCTAGGAGTCATAAAGCTTTTTTCAGAATTAATGTAACCATCTCCGTTATCCAAGATGCTGATTTATCTTTAGCTTTATTTATGTAACTTTTCTAATAGATGGGTTGGACATATCCAGTTTAGGTTTATGTGATGTGATCCTACCCAGTGGCTGTTTTACCACATATCTGGCTTGGAAACTTTCTGGCATGGACTCATGATTGAAACTATCTGTTTTACTTCTTAATCTTTCTAATCTCTGAGGATTGGGAGTTGGTGATTCTACATTTTTATGTGAGGGTCGGTCCAGACAGTGATTGTTGGTTGGGACAGGTCTGACCCTTGGGAATTCTATTGTGCAATATTATGCCTGTAGCCTGGAGGTTGTAGTACTTGTATGTACAGTACATAAATAAGGTTCAGCTCAAGGCAAGGAAGACCAAGCGGCTATTCATTCAAAAGTCCTTTGATTCTGGAAATATACCACCTTGGAGTTATGATAGGGTTATGTTCCCCCATGGAGAAAAGGCTTGCTATTTGAAGATCATCCTGGAGTCACAGCAAAAAAAACCCAAATACTCTATGGTAAGGAGGGCCTTACCCAGCTTCAGTTGATATGCCAGTCACAATCTTATTTAGAAGTGGAGCAGTTGTATTCTATTGATCTTCCTTATGGATGACTAATTTGCTTTAACTGAGGCTGCTCTTGGAAAAATGCAACAGCTGGTGTAAAATGCAACAGCTTGTACTCTTAAGACACAATCTTGTTACTACTGTGAAAGGCCACTGTTGTGCATTGGGTACCTGGGTGTTTCCGAATCGATTCAAGGTGCTGGTCATATGAGAATGCCTGTTCCAAATAGATTCTGCCACACAATTTGAGAAAATGGAAAATGATTGTTGAAGGTTCCCATCTACTGGGTATTGTGAGGTTTCCAGAAAACCAGCTATGCTTCGTGGTGTGCCTCTCTTCCTCTTGAACAGCTTTCCCCCCTCCAAACTCCTACTCCCATCACGTTTCTGGAAGCTTGTAAAGAGCATGGCTGTTCCACAAGGCCTTTTTGACAGGACTGGTGTAAAATTGCTAGTGCCAGATGTGTAATTGTTAGTATAAAGTAATATAATCTTTTAGGTTTTATTATAGTTTTGTATTGTTGACATTTGACTATTTCACCATTGCTCTCTTTGTACGCTGTTATTGCTTTTCAAGAGGGAAGCAGCATGGACATTTCATCAATAAAACTTTTAAAAATACATTGAATATAGGTTGGCATCTGCCAGGATATGCTTAACTGTTTCAGTCCGCAAAAAACTGTTCTGGTCCACTGAAACTATAGGCTCACTGTACCACAATCAATATGCTCTGAGTCTTTGTATGTACAACCAGGTATCCTGAATAGGAAAGTAATAGTAAGTACCGTATCTGTTTCTGTCTTACAACAGTCTGATTATGCAGACAAAGAATGAATGTTGGATAATAATACAATAAGTTGAACCTTTTGAATGCTGACTTACTGGCATTGAGTAAATATGCTAATAAGGCATTTTGCCTTTCCTCCATAATCTGGGAATTGCTAAATGAACCCAGAAATTTCTCACTGCAGTTCTTTTACATTATATCCCAAACCAGAATGTTTATACTAAGCCAAACCCTTAAGATGCAAAACAAACTGTGGATTAGATTTCCATTTTTATAGGAACCACAAGCTAAGAATTTCAGTAATAATTACATGGTAAAAATGTAATTATTTTTTTACTTACAATGAATTTAAATAGTGCTGCTTAAAAAGCACAACACAATAGTCAGAAGCTCCCTGATTTGTTTGAGACCAATCTGTCTCAAGTGAGACAGATTGGGCGGGATGTCCTGTCCTCATCAGCCACCCTTCAGAAAATTGTGGCTTGTTGATATATACCAACAAGGAGTGACAATAATCGTTTCCAATTTGGCTTTTCTGATAGGGTGGACACAGCTGGCAAGATATATACCTTCTCTGCCTGTAGGTCCTTGTATCCTCAGATTCCATTTTAGAATACTAGGAAACCCTCCAGAACATTTTTGGGTGAGTGAGAAAGGTGGAATGGGAAAGATTTTTAAAAGTCTTATTGTATTAGTCAGAGTCCATTTACGTGACACTCAATTCCTTGTTAATATTTGTCTCCCAAATAAAAGCTCATGTTCCAATGACCTCTTGTCTGTCAGAGTCATTTGTAGAATAAATATTATTTAATTTTAAATGGTTATCCAACAAGCTGTTCTGGGGAAGAAAGCTAGACTGTTTTTTCTTTATTATATTTGACTTTTGTGTTATTCCTCCTCCCCCATTCTTCCCACCCCTTCCCATTGCTTTCAGGAAAATTGTGTTGTGTGTTTGTTTTGTGAATGTAACTATTTAACAGATATTTTAATATTACTTGAGTGTTTTAATTTTACTTATATCATGTGACATACCGGGAGCTACAGGACATAAATGCAATAAATAAACACTTAAATTGCAGTGACAAAAACTGACATTCTGGGGCCAGGTTAGAGATAATTGTTGTTCATAGTTTTGATGGTTATCTTTATTGCAATGGGTGTGGTAGTGAAAAAAAAGGTTTCAGTAGTTTAAATGTTTTATTAATCTTAATCTTCGGCACAAAAAGGCTGAAGACTCTTTTCTGATGGCTGCAGCAACAATTCCCAGGTTTTCTCTTGATGCAGATTATATGTTTGGATTGTCATGTTCAGGTTGCAGAGTTTGATACCGTGAAGTGTTGTGCTTTTTAAGCAGCACTATTTAAATTCATTGTAAGTAAAAATATAAGAGCTTTTTTGGCACTTATTTATTATATAACCATTCAAGGATTACAATTCATTTTATCCAGTGCCTGGAAGAAGTAGACTGTGATCCACAAAAACCTAGGCAACAGTGAACTGGTTAGTTTTTAAGATTCTAGCTGCAAAAGATTAACATGACCATTTAAACCTTTTTATATAATGACTTTTTCAGATAAAATAAACTGTGAACCATAATTAGAGAGACAGTTTAGTTTAGTGGTTAAGGCACCAGATTAGAAAGTGGGAAACTGAATTTTAGTCCCACCTTAGCCATGAAAGCCAATCACTCTCTTAGCTGAATTCACCTCAGAGGATTTTTGTGGGGAAAATAGGAGGAGGAAGGTGTGTTATGAATATCTTCGCCACCTTGAGATATTTGTAAAAAACAATTAAGGTAGGATATATGTATATATTC